CCCACGTGTACAAGTGCCAGACGAATACTAAAGTGACTGCCAGACATCATGTGGTCACATAAACAAAGTGTTACAGTCACGCACTAAATTTCATTTTTATCTGCTAAAATTACTTAACCAAATTTTCGGCATTGGTTCATCAAGTCTTTTCACATTAGAATCCCGACATTTCCCACCAGATAGAAAAAGGCAGTAGAAGGAACTTAATCCATGTCTCCCAAGAAGCCCAAAGTAGGTAGAAATGGGCATGGACCGAAGGCCAGCCCAAGCGTACAAGGGCGAGACCAATCTTCAAGAAACCGCTAAAGATCATGTGGCCACATAAACTGAGTATTACATTCACAATTTTAAAAACCCTCTTCCATGTAGTACAGTTCCTAAAAATAAGTATTATCCATGACGCCTCGAGGGTTCTCATTAGGTAGAATACAGAATACATGTATTTGAGAGAAGGAGAAGGGTTGGCGACTCGACAAAACCCAAAAGCCAGATGGAATTTTATACCCCTAACCACATGCATTTTGTCAAAAAAAATAGCAATATTATGGTAAAAGGTTGATGTCCGAGGTACTAAATTGTTATATTTTGGTATTAATCTTGTTTAGTGCATTTAGCACGTCGGCGGTCGTTCCGATCTTTCTGATTCTGCTGAGCCTTTTCGATGGAGTGCTTGATCGGAATTGCCTTCAATGACTTTGCCATAGTAGCTGCGGATGCAAGGGTTAATCACTCAGTAGTTACATTGAAAGATGATGCGGACAAAATGTTTAAACTGAGCAAACATTGTCTAATGAGTATCTGTGGTGAAAGTGGTGATACAGTACAATTTGCCGAGTTTATTCAACAAAATATGCAACTGTATGAAATTAGGAACGGTTATGAACTGACTCCATATGCGGCTGCTAGTTTTACCAGGAGAAATTTGGCCGAAGCTCTTCGCACCAGAAATCCTTACAACGTTAATTTACTTCTCGCTGGTTATGATTCTTGTGCCGGCCCAAAAATCTACTACATGGACTATCTGGCCTCCATGGTGGATGTACCATACGCCGTACATGGACACGGTAGTTTCGTGACTCTTGCGGTTCTGGATAGTCAATATGATCCTGCCATGAAGATTGATCACGCTCTCATTCTTCTCAAAAGTTGTATCACTGAGCTTCAGAAACGCTTTGTTATTAATTACGGTCGGTTTATTGTTAAAGTGGTGAACAAGGATGGCATTGAGAACTTGCCTGATCTGGTTTAATATTTACTTAAATAAATTATTTCGAGTTCACTTTTCCCGATCTTTACCTTCTGAGGTGGGAACCGACATTTTGCCACTTTTGTTCTCAGACATGGGTAGTGTGTGCATATTTTTACACGCTAGGTTCTTTGTTACATTGGGAGGAGCAATAATGTGCAC